GGCGTGGATTCGCGGGTGGGTCGCGGGTTGGGTCGCGGGTGGGTCGCGGGTGCCTCGCGCGGTGGGTCGCGGGTGGGTCGCGGGCGGGTCGCGGAGAAGGTCGCGGGTGGGTCGCGGGTTTGGTCGCGGGTGGGTCGCGGTTGGGTCGCGTGTGGGTCACGGGTGGGTCGCGGGTAGGTCGCGGGTGGGTCGCGCGGTGCGTCTCGGGTGTCGCGGAGAAGGTCGCGGGTGGCTCGCGGGTAGGTCGCGGGTGGGTCGCAGGGTGCGTCGAGGTGGGTCGCGGGCGGGTCGCAGGTGGGTCGCGGGCCGGGTCGGGGGCGGGGGGGCGACAACAAACCACACCACCACCACCACCCCGACCAACAACAACAACAGCAGCAGCAACAACAACAATAATAACTACCACAACGCCACCACCACCAACCATGCATTATACCATCGACAGCAATACGAACAACAACAACCATACCAGCAACAACAACCACCACCACAAATACAACCACAAACACAATAACAACCGCAGCAACAGTCGCACCAGCAGCAGCAACAGCAACAGCCACAACATCACCACCACCAACACCACCAACAACAGCATAACAACAACATCAACACCAACAACAACACCACCTGTAATAACAGCCGTAACACCAGCAACGACACCAACACCAGCAGCACCAGCAGCCGCAGCAACAACAACAACACCAACAACAACACATCCACCACCATCAACATCAAGCATTTCGAACGTTATCGCTCTTATCTGCTCGCGTGCCACTCAGCACATGTGTTCCAAACCCTCGATACCCGCAGCTTCCGTCTTCGACCGTACCACCTTAGGGGTCTATCTTTCTTACCTGCAGCGTGTATTTCGTGCAGCCCCAATGGCAGGGGAAGAGAGGACGGATGGAAGGGAGAGACAAGGGGATGGAGGAGGATGGAGCACGAGAGAGAGAATAGGAGGGGGGCCAGAAACGGACACCACGTGGCAGATCCAGACGGGCAGGTCGGGCGGGTAGGCCCTAACGGGCGGGTCGGGAAGGCGAGCCCAGGCGGCCAGGTCGAGCAGGCGATTTGCTGAAGCGTGCGTGTGCTGCATAAGCGAGTAAAATGTAGAGCGTAGAGCGCGATCCCTGAGCTTGTTCGTTTGCCACACGCCGCAAATTGCCAACCGTACAGTCGCGTGCCAGGAAAGTCCTGACATGTGGCCAAGCTACTACCACTTAGCGTGACCGCAGGAGGACAGGAAAAACAGGAAGAACCCGAGAGCGTGACTCCTGATTGTGGAGGGCGCGGCGTCTGCATAAATTGCAAGGACATCCCACGCAAGAGCGCAACTCCTGCGAAGATTTGTGAGGAAGTCCCGCATCAGACCACGATTGCTCAATAAATTGTGAGGTCGTATCAGGCGGGAGCCGCTGTTGTTGTAAATTGGGGGCCAGGGGCACAGTTCGGTGACCCCACACTGTTGCTTCGAAAACAAAGGGTGCAAGTCAGGGAAGAAACACTTTAATTGAGAAAGGCGATGGTTTCCGCAGGTTTAGACGTGAGAAATCAGCAATGCGAGCCGCGGGAGCCTGCTTCAGCCACGCACCCAGGGACAGTGAATGACCGTTCGGCCTACTCACTCTGACCACTCTCCCGAACTCTCCAAGGGTCTCTTCTGACCAGAACGTCGAGGATACTTTTCAACATGAAACAGCTGACTGCCTCGTCGTCAGGCGCGAGACCGAGGATAGCATGATGGCCGCCGAGCAGCAGCGTCCTCAAGCCCATGCGTGGTTCTTGATGAAGAAGCAGTGCCCCGACGAGGAATCAGGGCAGAGAAAGACAACAAGCCCAGAGAGGCCAGGCCAGGACGAGCAGCGACATCGTCGCTGCACCTACCCTTTCCCCCTATGAGCTCCGGATCGCGATCGGGAACGGCGGCGCCGGAGCGGCGGCGCCGGCGCCGGCCGCACCGGCCCGCTGCGAGGCCGCCGCCGCTGCGCCCACGCGGCCCACGGCCCCCGACTGCAGCAGGACGACCTCGGCGCCGAAGGCGCCCGCGAGCAGCAGGGGTCCTGCGGCGAGCAGCGGGGGGCGGCGGGCGAGCGGCATCCCCGCGCCCTGGACGAGGCCAACCGGGGCATACGAAGCCAGCTCGATGCACGCTGCCGCGCGAGCCAGCTCGCGCGGCGGCGCGCATGGAGCCGGCCTGGCGCGCGGGTGGCGCCGTCCAGGCTGAGAGGCACGGCGGGCAGGTCCTGCGATCGAGGGGAGGGGGCCTCGGCCAAAAACAGCTTGAGCCCAGACCAGCCATGAGCGCCCAATTACTACATGGAGGCTGCCTCGCAAAACGGCGAATCGTCCGAGCTAGTGAGGAAATCCCCACTGGATGATGGGCCCATCGTACATCGGAATAGAATCCCTTTGGCGGAACAGTATGCGTTCCCGCGCGCGCACAAGCAGCGTGGAGAGAAAGACGCGTGATGGGCAAGGCGAACGATGCGAATGCTCTACTATTCTGTCCGACCGCGGTCGTTACCCCCCAGGGGGATGCTAACGACTCGGCGCAGGTCGGGGGAGCGTCCCGTGGATGCGGGGTCCCATGGCTCCGCGAGGGGCGCCCGCGAACAACATCTGCCCGCGCCCCTGCAGGTCGCGGAGGCGGAGCCCCGCCCGCCGAGGCCGGGGGCACGGCACCTCCGTGCCCTAGCGCCTAGCGACCTCGACTTGGGTCTTCGGACACCGCGTGGAGCCTTCGACCTCTGGGCGGTCGGCGGCTCCTGCGTCGCCGGAGCTCTGCCTGCCGGCCGGCCCTGGGCCGCCGCGCCGCGCTCCGCCTCGAGCGCCACCGCGCCAAGGGTCGCCGCCGCCGCGTCGGCACGGCACGCAGCCAGCGCACAGCTGCGAGCTGCGAAGCTGCTCGCCCACGGGCTCCGCCCGCGGCGGTGGGCGGGCGGAGGCGACCCGCCGCAGGGAGGCGGCGGCCCCAGGCTCGCAGCGGAAGAGACAAAAAAGCAGCGGCCGCGGCGCCGGCTCGAGAACCGAGAGCGGGGGGGGCCATGCGCTGCTCGCCGTGGCAGGGCGGGGGCTCGACAGGTCAACCCGCAGCATGCAGCGGGGGCCCGACCGCAGGAACCCTTCCAGAAGCAACCCGACCCTGAGACCCCAGGGCGTAGATCATAAATTTTGGCGTGGGAGCGTCACGCCTTCCATCGCAGAACCATCGACACCCAAGGGACCCAGGGCACCCTGGAGGCAAGCAGGGTGTGTGTGTGTGTGTGTGTGTGTGTGTCTTGGCATGGGTCTCCACTGTGAGAGCGCACGATAAGAAGGATGGAAGAAGGGCCTTAGAAGGCCATCTGCAAGCGGGGCGCGGCCAGCGAAAGCGGCCAAGGATGGGCCAAGGAAGCAAGGATGCAAGAGCAACCTTGGACAACCGCTCGTCCTTACTATGCGGGCTGACTGTACGGACGGGAACTTTAGGATACCGTGTCGCCATGGCGGCCCCGGCGACACGCAATGCATTGTCGCTCGGCTCCGCGAGACGAGAAGCTTGGAACATCTCAGCACATGGACGCCTCGGGAGCTCGAATTGGATGGCGTGTCGCGCCGAGGCGTGAGCCAGAACCGGCGGCGCGACACGCTACGGTCCACCTGTATAGTAAGGATGCGAGGCAAGCACGCAAGGGTCTGGGACGCCCATTTCGAAGCTTTTCGAGCGGGGCGCGGCCAACGCAAGTGGCGAAGGATGGACCGAGGAGGCAAGGATGCACGGGTACCCTTGGGAAGGTTGCCCATCCTTCCTATGCGCGCCGCCTGCCTCCCAAAACTCCTGACCCTATCAACCTCCGACCACCTCCCTCCCCTCTCCTCTCCGTCGTCCTCGTCGTCGTGATCGTCATCGTCGTCCACGACCGCGCCCCCCCCCCTTCCCCCCGCGGGTCTCCGGGGCCGTTGCTGGGAGGGCGGAGGAGATGAGCCGAGGAGCCGAGAAAGGAGAGAGGCATCGGCAAAGGCTGGTTGAATCCAGGCGCCTCACGTCACCAATGTTCCTGCGAGAGAGGCGCACACACAAGACCACCATACAATCGAAACATGTTTACGAGAACGCGGGCCAAGAACATGGGCCCCTTCCCCGAAGGCCCTGCGACCTGCGCAGCTGTGGCCACTGTCGTGGGCTCCTGGGAGGTACGGCTGAGTCGCGGAGTGCGCGGACCCCTCGCCGAGGCCTCGCAGCTCCCTGGGGGGGCTGCGACCTGCGAAACGGTCGCCACTGTCGTGGGCTCCTGGGAGGCAGGAGTCGCGGAGTGCGCGGACCCAGCCGAGGCCTCGCAGCTCCCTGGGGGGGCTGCGACCTGCGCAACAGGCGCCCAAGTCGTGGGCTCCTGGGAGGCACGGCGGGACGGTCGCCCCTGTCGTGGGCTCCTGGGAGGCACGAGGGAGCAAGGGAGTGCCTCAGAGTCTTGTTTGTTATGTCCATGCCACTGCTTGTTCTCCGACAGGATGGCTGGTGCCAGGCCTGGCGGCGTGCAGGTGCTGTAGCTGTATTCGCCGGCGCGGTACCCGGGGCTGGACCTCCTGAGAGTGGCGGGAGCGGGCCGCTGCACGGCTCGTGCGCACAGTTGGCCTTGAGAAGCCTGCGCTCCCACCGCCGCACAGGTGGCGGCGGATGTCGGGTGGCGGCCGCTGCTCCCTGGCCAGGCCCACGGTGAGCCCAGGGGCCCAGGAGCTGTGTGTACACGCCCTCCTGGCCAAGGCAGGAGGGCGTGGCGTATACGCCGCTGTCTGGGTTCAGGATGGGCCTGGCCAGGGAGCAGTGGATGTGTGTAACGTGTATAGATCTCGTCGCCCCAAGATGGGCACTCTCCTTCGGGAGGGAGGGGGGCCGACCCAGAGGTGCGGGGCATCCCCTCCCAGCTGCGCCGCGACGCGGCAGGCCTGTACAAGACATCGGAGCAGCTCCCGGCCCCAGCGAGCCGGGCTTCAAAAAAGAAAACAGGAGTTAATTATGCCACGCAGGGCCTCGGACACTCGTGGAGCCCATTGGTCCACAGATGTTCTTGGAAATCCTCGAACGACGACTCGGGAGATAAGTTGGGATACCACTCGGGGTCGTCACGGATCCCATCCTGCTTCGCCCACGCGACATGGCCGTAGCACTCCTCCCCAGGCGCGGCCGTGTGGCAAGAAGCGCACGGCCTCTGACACTCGTGGAGCCCGTTGAGCCACAGAAGGTTCTGGAAATCCTCGAACGACGACTCGAGAGATAAGTTGGGATACCACTCGGGGTCGTCACGGATCCCCTCCTGCTTCGCCCACGCCACATGGCCGTAGCACTCCTCCCCTGGCGCGGCCGTGTGGCAAGAAGCGCACGGCCTCTGACACTCGTGGAGCCCGTTGAGCCACAGAAGGTTCTGGAAATCCTCGAACGACGACTCGAGAGATAAGTTGGGATACCACTCGGGATGGTCACGGATCCCATCCTGCTTCGCCCACGCCACATGGCGTAGCACTCCTCCCCTGGCGCGGCCGTGTGGCAAGGCGCCGGTGGCGTTGGTGCAGGTGTCGGACTTGCCCTGGCCGATTCGCACGGCCTCTCGCATTCCCCCAGCCCGTGCATCCACAGGTGCTCCTGGAAGTCCTCGAACGACGACTCTGGAGACAGACCAGGATACCACTGCGGAGAAACGCGGATCCCATCCTGCTTCGCCCACGCGACATGGCCGTGGCACTCCTCCCCTGGCGCGGCCGTGTGGCAGGGCGCAGTCGGGACTGGCGCGGGCGCTGGCGTGTGCGTCGCCTGCGAAGGGGGTGGCGCGGCCCCCCAGGATGGGACCGGCGTGGCACCCGGCCAGCCTGGCGCGACAGCGAGCCAGCGTGGAGGCCAGGAGACCTGCCCAGTGGCCGTCCTCAGCCCGGCGCTCAAAGTCGGCACCTCGGAGCAGGCCGAGCCGGACCCCGCTGCGCCGTAGCTGCAACAGCCAGGTGTCACTGCGTTCGTCCACTCGTTCGCCGCAACGGTCACCTCGCACCTGCGCTCCGCGTTCCAGCCCACCGTGACGTTGGACACGAAGTCCGTCCTGACTCCGCAGCACTGCGGGGGGGCCTCGAGCGCCTCCGCCACGCAGTCTGCGCCGAGCCGGACGGTCACGCCCGCGTTGTCGGGGTTCTTTGGGCCCGGGCTGGAGACCACGGCGCTCACGGCTGGCCTGGAGAAGGACCAGTACCAGTTGTTGATCTGAACGCCCACGCCGCCCGAGCTCGCCCAGTCGTCGACGAGGGTCGCGCTGGCCCCGGGCGGGATCAGCACCTGCTCGCCGGACGGCGTGGAGATCGTCAGCGAGTTCCCCCCACGCTCCACGCATGGGTTGGCCGCTGTGCTGGAGGGCAGCGCGTTCCTGAGGGGACAACAAATACCGATATGTGCACCCCGCAGTTAGGGATAAGAGTGGGGGGGCGGTCTCGGGGTGGGTCGCGGGTGGGTCGCGGGTGAATCGCGGGTGGGTCGCGGGTTGGGTCGCGGGTGGGTCGCGGGTGGGTCGCGTGTGGGTCACGGGTGGGGCGAGGGAAGGTCGCGGGTGGCTCGCGCGGTGGGTCGCGGGTGGGTCGCGGGCGGGTCGCGGGCGGGTCGCGGAGAAGGTCGCGGGTGGGTCGCGGGTTTGGTCGCGGGTGGGTCGCGGTTGGGTCGCGTGTGGGTCACGGGTGGGTCGCGGGTAGGTCGAGGGTGGGTCGCGCGGTGCGTCTCGGGTGTCGCGGAGAAGGTCGCGGGTGGCTCGCGGGTAGGTCGCGGGTGGGTCGCAGGGTGCGTCGAGGTGGGTCGCGGGCGGGTCGCAGGTGGGTCGCGGGCCGGGTCGGGGGCGGGGGGGCGACAACAAACCACACCACCACCACCACCACGACCAACAACAACAACAGCAGCAGCAACAACAACAATAATAACAACCACAACGCCACCACCACCAACAATGCATTACACCATCGACAGCAATACGAACAACAACAACCATACCAGCAACAACAACCACCACAAACACAACCACAAACACAAGAACAACCGCAGCAACAGCCGCACCAGCAGCAGCAACAGCAACAGCCACAACACCACCACCACCAACACCACCAACAACAGCATAACAGCAACATCAACACCAAAAACAACACCACCTGTAATAACAGCCGTAACACCAGCAACGACACCAACACCAGCTGCACCAGCAGCCGCAGCAACAACAACACCAACAACAACACATCCACTACCATCAACAACAACAAGCATTTCGAACGTTATCGCTCTTATCTGCTCGCGTGCCATTCAGCACATGTATTCCAAACCCTCGATACCCGCAGCTTCCGTCTTCGACCGTACCACCTTAGGGGTCTATCTTTCTTACCTGCAGCGTGTACTTCGTGCAGCCCCAATGGCAGGGGAATATAGGACGGATGGAAGGGAGAGACAAGGGGATGGAGGAGGATGGAGCACGAGAGAGAGAGTAGGAGGGGGGCCAGAAGCAGACACCACGTGGCAGATCCAGACGGGCAGGTCGGGCGGGTAGGCCCTAACGGGCGGGTCGGGAAGGCGAGCCCAGGCGGCCAGGTCGAGCAGGCGATTTGCTGAAGCGTGCGTGCTGCATGAATCGCGAGGAAAATGTGAGCGAGAGCGCGATCCCTGAGCTTGTACGTTTGCACCACGCAGCAAACTGCCAACACGTTACAGCTCGCGTGGCCAGGAAGTCTTGACACTGTGGCCAGGCAACTACCACTTCCGCGTGACCGCAGGAGGACAGGAAAAACAGGAAGAACCCGAGAGCGTGACTCCTGATTGTGGAGGGCGCGGCGTCTGCATAAATTGCAAGGACATCCCACGCAAGAGCGCAACTCCTGCGAAGATTTGTGAGGAAGTCCCGCATCAGATCACGATTGCTCAATAACTTGTGAGGTCGTATCAGGCGGGAGCCGCTGTTGTTGTAAGCTGGGAGCCAGGGGCACAGTTCGGTGACCCCACACTGTTGCTTCGAAAACAAAGGGTGCAAGTCAGGGAAGAAACACTTTAATTGAGAAAGGCGATGGTTTCCGCAGGTTTAGACGTGAGAAATCAGCAATGCGAGCCGCGGGAGCCTGCTTCAGCCACGCACCCAGGGACAGTGAATGACCGTTCGGCCTACTCACTCTGACCACTCTCCCGAACTCTCCAAGGGTCTCTTCTGACCAGAACGTCGAGGATACTTTTCAACATGAAACAGCTGACTGCCTCGTCGTCAGGCGTGAGACCGAGGATAGCATGATGGCCGCCGAGCAGCAGCGTCCTCAAGCCCATGCGTGGTTCTTGATGAAGAAGCAGTGCCCCGACGAGGAATCAGGGCAGAGAAAGACAACAAGCCCGGAGAGGCCAGGCCTGGGGCCCAAACTGCACGGGCCCCGTATAACTAGACAGCCAGGGCGAGGAGCAGGAGGACACCCTCGAGGAGAACCCTGCCGTGGCGACGAGGGCCCTCCAGGACGAGCAGCGACATCGTCGCTGCACCTACCCTTTCCCCCTCCGAGCTCCGGATCGCGATCGGGAACGGCGGCGCCGGAGCGGCGGCGCCGGCGCCGGCCGCACCGGCCCGCTGCGAGGCCGCCGCCGCTGCGCCCACGCGGCCCACGGCCCCCGACTGCAGCAGGACGACCTCGGCGCCGGAGGCGCCCGCGAGCAGCAGGGGCCCTGCGGCGAGCAGCGGGGGGCGGCGGGCGAGCGGCATCCCCGCGCCCTGGACGAGGCCAACCGGGGCATACGAAGCCAGCTCGATGCACGCTGCCGCGCGAGCCAGCTCGCGCGGCGGCGCGCATGGAGCCGGCCTGGCGCGCGGGTGGCGCCGTCCAGGCTGAGAGGCACGGCGGGCAGGTCCTGCGATCGAGGGGAGGGGGCCTCGGCCAAAAACAGCTTGAGCCCAGACCAGCCATGAGCGCCCAATTACTACATGGAGGCTGCCTCGCAAAGCGGCGAATCGTCCGGGCTAGTGAGGAAATCCCCACTGGATGATGGGCCCATCGTACATCGGAATAGAATCCCTTTGGCGGAACAGTATGCGTTCCCGCGCGCGCACAAGCAGCGTGGAGAGAAAGACGCGTGATGGGCAAGGCGAACGATGCGAATGCTCTACTATTCTGTCCGACCGCGGTCGTTACCCCCCAGGGGGATGCTAACGACTCGGCGCAGGTCGGGGGAGCGTCCCGTGGATGCGGGGTCCCATGGCTCCGCGAGGGGCGCCCGCGAACAACATCTGCCCGCGCCCCTGCAGGTCGCGGAGGCGGAGCCCCGCCCGCCGAGGCCGGGGGCACGGCACCTCCGTGCCCTAGCGCCTAGCGACCTCGACTTGGGTCTTCGGACACCGCGTGGAGCCTTCGACCTCTGGGCGGTCGGCGGCTGCTGCGTCGCCGGAGCTCTGCCTGCCGGCCGGCCCTGGGCCGCCGCGCCGCGCTCCGCCTCGAGCGCCACCGCGCCAAGGGTCGCCGCCGCCGCGTCGGCACGGCACGCAGCCAGCGCACAGCTGCGAGCTGCGAAGCTGCTCGCCCACGGGCTCCGCCCGCGGCGGTGGGCGGGCGGAGGCGACCCGCGGCAGGGAGGCGGCGGCCCCAGGCTCGCAGCGGAAGAGACAAAAAAGCAGCGGCCGCGGCGCCGGCTCGAGAACCGAGAGCGGGGGGGGCCATGCGCTGCTCGCCGTGGCAGGGCGGGGGCTCGACAGGTCAACCCGCAGCATGCAGCGGGGGCACGACCGCAGGAACCCTTCCAGAAGCAACCCGACCCTGAGACCCCAGGGCGTAGATCATAAATTTTGGCGTGGGAGCGTCACGCCTTCCATCGCAGAACCATCGACACCCAAGAGACCCAGGGCACCCTGGAGGCAAGCAGGGTGTGTGTGTGTGTGTGTCTTGGCATGGGTCTCCACTGTGAGGGCGCACGATAAGAAGGATGGAAGAAGGGCCTTAGAAGGCCATCTGCAAGCGGGGCGCGGCCAGCGAAAGCGGCCAAGGATGGGCCAAGGAAGCAAGGATGCAAGAGCAACCTTGGACAACCGCTCGTCCTTACTATGCGGGCTGACTGTACGGACGGGAACTTTAGGATATCGTGTCGCCATGGCGGCCCCGGTGACACGCTATGCATTGTCGCTCCCTTCCGCGAGACGAGAAGCTTGGAACATCTCAGCACATGGACGCCTCCGGAGCTCGAATTGGATGGCGTGTCGCGCCGAGGCGTGAGCCAGAACCGGCGGCGCGACACGCTACGGTCCACCTGTATAGTAAGGATGCGAGGCAAGCACGCAAGGGTCTGGGACGCCCATTTCGAAGCTTTTCGAGCGGGGCGCGGCCAACGCAAGTGGCGAAGGATGGACCGAGGAGGCAAGGATACAAGGGAACCCTTGGGAAGGTTGCCCATCCTTCCTATGCGCGCCGCCTGCCTCCCAAAACTCCTGACCCTATCAACCTCCGACCACCTCCCTCCCCTCTCCTCTCCGTCGTCCTCGTCGTCGTGATCGTCATCGTCGTCCACGACCGCGCCCCTCCCCCTTCCCCCGGCGGGTCTCCGGGGCCGTTGCTGGGAGGGCGGAGGAGATGAGCCGAGGAGCCGAGAAAGGAGAGAGGCATCGGCAAAGGCTGGTTGAATCCAGGCGCCTCACGTCACCAATGTTCCTGCGAGAGAGGCGCACACACAAGACCACCATACAATCGAAACATGTTTACGAGAACGCGGGCCAAGAACATGGGCCCCTTCCCCGAAGGCCCTGCGACCTGCGCAGCTGTGGCCACTGTCGTGGGCTCCTGGGAGGTACGGCTGAGTCGCGGAGTGCGCGGACCCCTCGCCGAGGCCTCGCAGCTCCCTGGGGGGGCTGCGACCTGCGAAACGGTCGCCACTGTCGTGGGCTCCTGGGAGGCACGGCGGAGTCGCGGAGTGCGCGGACCCAGCCGAGGCCTCGCAGCTCCCTGGGGGGGCTGCGACCTGCGCAACAGGCGCCCAAGTCGTGGGCTCCTGGGAGGCACGGCGGAACCGTCGCCCCCTGTCGTGGGCTCCTGGGAGGCACGAGGGAGCAAGGGAGTGCCTCAGAGTCTTGTTTGTTATGTCCATGCCACTGCTTGTTCTCCGACAGGATGGCTGGTGCCAGGCCTGGCGGCGTGCAGGTGCTGTAGCTGTATTCGCCGGCGCGGTACCCGGGGCTGGACCTCCTGAGAGTGGCGGGAGCGGGCCGCTGCACGGCTCGTGCGCACAGTTGGCCTTGAGAAGCCTGCGCTCCCACCGCCGCACAGGTGGCGGCGGATGTCGGGTGGCGGCCGCTGCTCCCTGGCCAGGCCCACGGTGAGCCCAGGGGCCCAGGAGCTGTGTGTACACGCCCTCCTGGCCAAGGCAGGAGGGCGTGGCGTATACGCCGCTGTCTGGGTTCAGGATGGGCCTGGCCAGGGAGCAGTGGATGTGTGTAACGTGTATAGATCTCGTCGCCCCAAGATGGGCACTCTCCTTCGGGAGGGAGGGGGGCCGACCCAGAGGTGCGGGGCATCCCCTCCCAGCTGCGCCGCGACGCGGCAGGCCTGTACAAGACATCGGAGCAGCTCCCGGCCCCAGCGAGCCGGGCTTCAAAAAAGAAAACAGGAGTTAATTATGCCACGCAGGGCCTCGGACACTCGTGGAGCCCATTGGTCCACAGATGTTCTTGGAAATCCTCGAACGACGACTCGGGAGATAAGTTGGGATACCACTCGGGGTCGTCACGGATCCCATCCTGCTTCGCCCACGCGACATGGCCGTAGCACTCCTCCCCAGGCGCGGCCGTGTGGCAAGAAGCGCACGGCCTCTGACACTCGTGGAGCCCGTTGAGCCACAGAAGGTTCTGGAAATCCTCGAACGACGACTCGAGAGATAAGTTGGGATACCACTCGGGATGGTCACGGATCCCCTCCTGCTTCGCCCACGCCACATGGCCGTAGCACTCCTCCCCTGGCGCGGCCGCGTGGCAAGAAGCGCACGGCCTCTGACACTCGTGGAGCCCGTTGAGCCACAGAAGGTTCTGGAAATCCTCGAACGACGACTCGAGAGATAAGTTGGGATACCACTCGGGATGGTCACGGATCCCCTCCTGCTTCGCCCACGCCACATGGCCGTAGCACTCCTCCCCTGGCGCGGCCGTGTGGCAAAGCGCCGGTGGCGTTGGTGCAGGTGTCGGACTTGCCCTGGCCGATTCGCACGGCCTCTCGCATTCCCCCAGCCCGTGCATCCACAGGTGCTCCTGGAAGTCCTCGAACGACGACTCTGGAGACAGACCAGGATACCACTGCGGAGAAACGCGGATCCCATCCTGCTTCGCCCACGCGACATGGCCGTGGCACTCCTCCCCTGGCGCGGCCGTGTGGCAGGGCGCAGTCGGGACTGGCGCGGGCGCTGGCGTGTGCGTCGCCTGCGAAGGGGGTGGCGCGGCCCCCCAGGATGGGACCGGCGTGGCACCCGGCCAGCCTGGCGCGACAGCGAGCCAGCGTGGAGGCCAGGAGACCTGCCCAGTGGCCGTCCTCAGCCCGGCGCTCAAAGTCGGCACCTCGGAGCAGGCCGAGCCGGACCCCGCTGCGCCGTAGCTGCAACAGCCAGGTGTCACTGCGTTCGTCCACTCGTTCGCCGCAACGGTCACCTCGCACCTGCGCTCCGCGTTCCAGCCCACCGTGACGTTGGACACGAAGTCCGTCCTGACTCCGCAGCACTGCGGGGGGGCCTCGAGCGCCTCCGCCACGCAGTCTGCGCCGAGCCGGACGGTCACGCCCGCGTTGTCGGGGTTCTTTGGGCCCGGGCTGGAGACCACGGCGCTCACGGCTGGCCTGGAGAAGGACCAGTACCAGGTGTTGATCTGAACGCCCACGCCGCCCGAGCTCGCCCAGTCGTCGACGAGGGTCGCGCTGGCCCCGGGCGGGATCAGCACCTGCTCGCCGGACGGCGTGGAGATCTTCAGCGAGTTCCCCCCACGCTCCACGCATGGGTTGGCCGCTGTGCTGGAGGGCAGCGCGTTCCTGAGGGGACAACAAATACCGATATGTGCACCCCGCAGTTAGGGATAAGAGTGGGGGGGCGGTCTCGGGGTGGGTCGCGGGTGGGTCGCGGGTGAATCGCGGGTGGGTCGCGGGTTGGGTCGCGGGTGGGTCGCGGGTGGGTCGCGTGTGGGTCACGGGTGGGGCGAGGGAAGGTCGCGGGTGGCTCGCGCGGTGGGTCGCGGGTGGGTCGCGGGCGGGTCGCGGGCGGGTCGCGGAGAAGGTCGCGGGTGGGTCGCGGGTTTGGTCGCGGGTGGGTCGCGGTTGGGTCGCGTGTGGGTCACGGGTGGGTCGCGGGTAGGTCGAGGGTGGGTCGCGCGGTGCGTCTCGGGTGTCGCGGAGAAGGTCGCGGGTGGCTCGCGGGTAGGTCGCGGGTGGGTCGCAGGGTGCGTCGAGGTGGGTCGCGGGCGGGTCGCAGGTGGGTCGCGGGCCGGGTCGGGGGCGGGGGGGCGACAACAAACCACACCACCACCACCACCACGACCAACAACAACAACAGCAGCAGCAACAACAACAATAATAACAACCACAACGCCACCACCACCAACAATGCATTACACCATCGACAGCAATACGAACAACAACAACCATACCAGCAACAACAACCACCACAAACACAACCACAAACACAAGAACAACCGCAGCAACAGCCGCACCAGCAGCAGCAACAGCAACAGCCACAACACCACCACCACCAACACCACCAACAACAGCATAACAGCAACATCAACACCAAAAACAACACCTCCTGTAATAACAACCGTAACACCAGCAACGACACCAACACCAGCTGCACCAGCAGCCGCAGCAACAACAACACCAACAACAACACATCCACTACCATCAACAACAACAAGCATTTCGAACGTTATCGCTCTTATCTGCTCGCGTGCCATTCAGCACATGTATTCCAAACCCTCGATACCCGCAGCTTCCGTCTTCGACCGTACCACCTTAGGGGTCTATCTTTCTTACCTGCAGCGTGTATTTCGTGCAGCCCCAATGGCAGGGGAATATAGGACGGATGGAAGGGAGAGACAAGGGGATGGAGGAGGATGGAGCACGAGAGAGAGAGTAGGAGGGGGGCCAGAAGCAGACACCACGTGGCAGATCCAGACGGGCAGGTCGGGCGGGTAGGCCCTAACGGGCGGGTCGGGAAGGCGAGCCCAGGCGGCCAGGTCGAGCAGGCGATTTGCTGAAGCGTGCGTGCTGCATGAATCGCGAGGAAAATGTGAGCGAGAGCGCGATCCCTGAGCTTGTACGTTTGCACCACGCAGCAAACTGCCAACACGTTACAGCTCGCGTGGCCAGGAAGTCTTGACACTGTGGCCAGGCAACTACCACTTCCGCGTGACCGCAGGAGGACAGGAAAAACAGGAAGAACCCGAGAGCGTGACTCCTGATTGTGGAGGGCGCGGCGTCTGCATAAATTGCAAGGACATCCCACGCAAGAGCGCAACTCCTGCGAAGATTTGTGAGGAAGTCCCGCATCAGATCACGATTGCTCAATAACTTGTGAGGTCGTATCAGGCGGGAGCCGCTGTTGTTGTAAGCTGGGAGCCAGGGGCACAGTTCGGTGACCCCACACTGTTGCTTCGAAAACAAAGGGTGCAAGTCAGGGAAGAAACACTTTAATTGAGAAAGGCGATGGTTTCCGCAGGCTTAGACGTGAGAAATCAGCAATGCGAGCCGCGGGAGCCTGCTTCAGCCACGCACCCAGGGACAGTGAATGACCGTTCGGCCTACTCACTCTGACCACTCTCCCGAACTCTCCAAGGGTCTCTTCTGACCAGAACGTCGAGGATACTTTTCAACATGAAACAGCTGACTGCCTCGTCGTCAGGCGTGAGACCGAGGATAGCATGATGGCCGCCGAGCAGCAGCGTCCTCAAGCCCATGCGTGGTTCTTGATGAAGAAGCAGTGCCCCGACGAGGAATCAGGGCAGAGAAAGACAACAAGCCCGGAGAGGCCAGGCCTGGGGCCCAAACTGCACGGGCCCCGTATAACTAGACAGCCAGGGCGAGGAGCAGGAGGACACCCTCGAGGAGAACCCTGCCGTGGCGACGAGGGCCCTCCAGGACGAGCAGCGACATCGTCGCTGCACCTACCCTTTCCCCCTCCGAGCTCCGGATCGCGATCGGGAACGGCGGCGCCGGAGCGGCGGCGCCGGCGCCGGCCGCACCGGCCCGCTGCGAGGCCGCCGCCGCTGCGCCCACGCGGCCCACGGCCCCCGACTGCAGCAGGACGACCTCGGCGCCGGAGGCGCCCGCGAGCAGCAGGGGCCCTGCGGCGAGCAGCGGGGGGCGGCGGGCGAGCGGCATCCCCGCGCCCTGGACGAGGCCAACCGGGGCATACGAAGCCAGCTCGATGCACGCTGCCGCGCGAGCCAGCTCGCGCGGCGGCGCGCATGGAGCCGGCCTGGCGCGCGGGTGGCGCCGTCCAGGCTGAGAGGCACGGCGGGCAGGTCCTGCGATCGAGGGGAGGGGGCCTCGGCCAAAACAGCTTGAGCCCAGACCAGCCATGAGCGCCCAATTACTACATGGAGGCTGCCTCGCAAAGCGGCGAATCGTCCGGGCTGGTGAGAAGACCCCCGCTGGATGATGAGCCCCTCGTACATCGGAGTAGAATTAGGTCGGGCGTGTTCTCCTACAGGCGGATTTGGGAGCAAAAATCAAAAATAGTTTTAAACTACCCCCAAAATGGTACGGAACAAATCGAACATTCATCCGAAGACTACTTGTTCAATTATTTGTGAATATGCCTCCTAGAGGGGCGTGCCCGACTGCATAATATACTCATCCCTGCGGCGGAGCAGCTTGCGTTGCTCTTGCACCTCTCCGAGGCGACCCTGCGAAAAAAAACAGCGTGGAGAGAAAGACGAGCGGCGGTCATTACCCACGGGTGGAGCGAGGTGGGGCCCCCGGCAACACGGTAACGACTTGGCGGGGGGGGGGCGGGGGGCACGCCAGGGCGGGGGAGCGCTGCGATCGCCCATGGTATGCGCGCAAGCGCCGGCACGTGAGGGGGGCGTCCAAGCCGCCGCCCCTACGCGCGATCGCTAACTACCCTCGCCCGGGTGACGGGTGGGCGGGTCGTTGGCCCGGGTAGCGACCACTACGCGAGCATACAACAAGAGGGCTGCGTCGAGAAGGGGGGAGATGGACGGAAGGAAGAGGTACAGCAGACGCGAGGGAGAGGGGAGGAAGCAGCACGGAACTGGGGGGCAAGGCGACCTGGGCCGGGAGAGCCGGGAGAGGGCGGGGGCCACCGAGGGCGCGAGGGCACGGAGGCAGCACGGAGGGGCCGAGGAGCAGGGTGAGCAGATGGAGGAGGCCGCCCTTTGTGTTCTCCTCCCCCCCCGCTCAACGTCCGCTGCGGGGGGGGGGGCGTGTATGGGCGGGGGGGGCCGGGCCTGCGAGCGCCACGGCGTGCCTGTGAGTACCACAGCGTGCCTGTCCGCGGTGCAGCATGCCTGCGAGCGCCTTACCGTGCCCGTGGGGGGACCCGTCCCCCCCGACCCCCCCCCCCCCCTGCGCACAGTCGGCACCGCTGCACGGCGAGGCGGGGGGAGGGAGGGGTCTACCCACCGCAACGGACACTGCCCGCTCGAAGGAGAGAGATGTTGGCGGCGCGCACCGAATGGGGTGGAGGGAGGGGGGAGAGTTCCTTAGGGAGGCTGCTTCTTAGAAGGCACCGGCCTCACATCCACAGACAAGGCCCGCGCCTTCTAAAGAAGCAGGGGTGCTTCTAAGAAGCCCTCCCCCCTCCCTCCACCCCCTTCGTGCGCGTGGCTGAAGATGGAAGGGGCATTCTGAAGGGGCAGAGGGGCGAGGAACGGAAGACATGCGATCGTTCAACGGAGCCGGCACGAGGTGGCGGTGAAGGACGGGCAGGCGTTCGTCACCGGAGACGAGCAGGGGCGAGCGCGGGGAAACGCGAACACATGGGAACATGGAACAGGAAAAGGCCTTCGTCGTACCTGAGATGGCGGCAAGGACTAGCCAGATCGTCGCAATGTTCCACGTGGAGTAGAACATGTAGACCTGTCGGGGAACAAGAAGCGAGAGATGCGCACGCGAAGGCGACATAGCAGATGGATAGCCTCGAGACGACATACTCGGAGACGGTGCCAGAGACACAGACACACGACAAGATAGAGAGAGAGAGAGAGACTCACTCACACACACACACACCTTCAGACATGTTGATACACGTAGACATGTGAGTCCTGCGTGTCCTGTGCCGGGCTCCCTATAGCTTCCTCCTCCGCATCCTGTCAGCCAGCCCTCGTCCCTCTGCGCGCAGGAGCGCCCTCTTCGTCCTCACCCGCGTCCTCCACAGAAACGGCACCGTCGCCGCCATGCACGCGTTGAGGCCAGCACGATGGTCCATGACCCTGGTAGCGGTCGCTGCCAAATCGGCATGTTTGCGCCATCGGTCACAGTCATCATCGCAGCCATCAGCAGCTGGAACGGCGGGAACATCCCCGCACCTGCAACGCAAGACATCGGCCTGCTGTGTCACTCGGGCTGCGACCCTGCAGCGCCTGCCTCCGCCACTTCGTCAGATCCTGCCTCCCCCTCTTCCCCCTTGTTTCTCCCGCATGCCCGTGCCAGAATGTTCCTCGCCGTCATCCTTCAGGGCTCGGCGAGGCCCTCGCAGACCTCCAGGCTACCCTTGGAATCAGACTGCTCTCGTTGTTGTCCCGACGGCTGTCTTTCGTGCCTGAGCGCAGCACGCCGTCCTGTACAGTATTCGGCCTGACCGAAAGAAAGATGCATAAGGAACGAAACCCCTGTTTTTACAAGGAAGTCTAGGAAGTCCGAAGGACCACCAGGGGGGCTCGCCGCCAAAAAGGTGGCAGAACGCATACAAACCAAAGGAACGACCGAGCACCTTTTGAAAGGTAAGTGTTCCTTATTCAAGCCAGACCCTGTAAGCGGTGGGAGCGGGGCTCATTTTTCTTCGGCCTGGGTGCTTAGCGCTCTCGTGTCAAGGTAGGCCGACATGTGCGGGGGAGGGCATTCGGCTTCCCGTCGGGGATCTACCGACCCGGGCCAATCCAGACCTGGCGCAGTCGGGCCTTGCATTAGGTCGGGCATGTCCCCCCACAAGCGGATTTTGGACGACAAATTGCAAAATATTAGAACAATGCTCAAGCATATTCTACAAATGCTGAAAAAATCGTCCCGTGACTATTTTAGGACTATTTTTGGATATTCCTCCTGCAGAGGGACATACCCGACGTAAACCTTGCAGGACCCTGGAAGATACTGCAGGATCCTCCGGGACCCTGCGCCCAAGCCCGGGTCAATGCGGGCCTGGCTCTGCAGGACCCTGCAAGAGATCTGGCGCTCTGACCGACCCCTGTTTGCGTGGACCCCTGGCGACTCTCTGGCGGCCGCTCGGTGCGAGCAGGGCACCGCCGGAGCGCTCACGGCGAGGCGTCGCCGCTGAAAGGCACCCCAAGGCTGGGAAGCCGCCGAGGAAACCCGACGCACGCGACCGAAAGCCTTTGAACCTCTAAGCGAACACGTCGCGGGGGTCGTCTGCTCGATCGGCGATGCATCGCCGATTCCAGTCGGGCGGGTGGCAACGAGGGGTGACCTATAAGGGCGGAGAAGAACAGGGCCCTCAAAGGGGCCCTTCAGGGTCCCTTTTGGGCTCCAGCTGGCTCCACAAGGGGCCCCAAGGTGCCCCTTCAGGGGCCTTTACCACCCCTTACCACCCGCCCTATCCAGGCCGATGCTGCCCCTGCCCCCTGGGCCGGTCACGATCCTCATCTCCATCGGTCTTCGGGCCGCGGCTCGGAGCTGCGGCGGCCGTGGCGGTGGCTATACAGAGCGTGTGCCCGCAGCCGAGGCCGAAGAGGCGAGCGGCAGACGAGCAACAACACATGGCACACAGAAGCTCCGGTGAAGGCCCGCGCGAATTCCGCGGGCCCGCGCCGAGCCTTCGGCGGCCTTCGGGGACCTTTAGAAATCTCCAGCGACCTCCCTTTGAGGGGCGGCGTCAGGGACACAGGACGCACGTGGACGAGGCGGAGGTGGGGGGCAGGGGAAGACGATGATGATGAGGAGGAGCAGGAGGAGGAGGAGGAGGAGCAGGAAGAGGTCCCTGCCCCACATTTGTTGGATGGATGTCTCAAGCTATCTGCCGCCTCACGCGGTGCACGTTCGAAGCAGGAGCGCAGCACCGCCACAGAGAAGCGCGGCATCGACCATGCAGCTCCGCACACGTGGGGGCGCGCCTCGCCCCGCGCACCGGCATCGCGACTCGACCGCAAGGGGGCTTCCGAGAGACCGTGCGCGGCTGTGCCGTCAGCTGCTCTCCGTCGAGACGCCAGGGGGGCAGAGCAGGCGCCGCCCCTGCAGCCGGGCATCGTCGCCCAGCGTGCCGCGGCGGCGGCCCCCGCGGCCCCCGCGGCGTTGCCCTGCGAGCGGGTCGCGCGTCGCTCCGCTCCGCGGGGCGGGAGCCTGGGCGAGGCGAGGCTCCGGACGACAGCGCTTGGAAAGGGGGGGGCGTGGACAGCGTGTCGCGCCGGAGCGTGGTGGGCCAGGGCCAGCGGAGCAACGCGCTAAGCCAACGTGTCCAGCGAAACCATAGCAGGATAGCAGGGGGAACGAGCCTGGGGTAAGCAAGGGGGGAGCGAAGGCCTTCCTGATGGGGGGAAGCAAGCGGAGACCACGTGGAAGAAGGCCAGAGCGCGAAAACGTCGGGCCGATCTTGGCCACCGTCCATATCGGTCAGCGTCAATTCGTGGACCCTCCTCGCGAATCGGCGACGGTCGGCATGGACCACAACCAAGACCGGCGTCGGCAAGATCCCACGACACCGGGGTCCTGGCTGATTCTCTCGACTTGAGCATTAAGAGCTCCCCCATCAGACTCGGCTCTCGGAGCTCGCACTGGGCGTTCTCCGGCGAGGACCTGGCGGCGGCAACCTGGCCGTGGCGACGAGGGCCCCCCTGCGAGGCCCAGGACGAGGGCGGCAGGCGCCAGGAGGCCCCTATCCTGGGATGGTGCCAGCTGCACACCTGCACACGTGCAGCCGAAAACGGGCCCGCTCGGAGGTCCATCCCCAGGCGGCACCCCTGGAGACACCTCCCCGGACAAAGCGAGAAGAAGGGCCAGCCAGGGACGAAAACACACGCGGGCCGCCCGAGGCGGCCCATCAGCGGGTTTGAGGGGCGGGGGGGAAGCACGGGGAGGAGGCGGAGGAGCGTGCTCAAGAGGGAGGAGGAGGAGGAGGAGGAGGAGGAGGAGGAGGAGGAGGAGGAGGAGGAGGAGGGAAAGGGGGAGAATGGAAAGAGGGAGGAGGAGGAGGAGGAGGAGGAGGAGGAGGAGGAGGAGGGAAAGGAGGAAGAGGAGGAGGAGGAGGAGGAGGAGGAGGGAAAGGGGGAGGAGGAGGAGATGTGGCAAGAGGGGGGAAGCCACACGGCTTTAGGGCGAGGTTGGAGGGAGAGGGCGAAAGGAGGAGGGGGCCGGGGGATGGGGAGGGCGTGAGTCGGGGCGCCGGTTTCCTGGGCAGGGCAAGGATGCAGAGAACGGCGCAGGAGAAAGACCGCGGGAGAAAAACCCCACGCGGATTGGTGGTGCTTCTTTTACGGCGAGGAGCGTTTCCCGAGCGTGTCGCGGCGGCGGCCCAGGCGACACGCTACGCCTGGCAACAGGGATGGCACGTCGCTCTGCTTCGCGGGTCGGGAGGCTTGGGACCTTGACGCTTGGCACTCGGACAGCGTGTCCCGCCGCAGCGTGGTGGGGTTAGAACTTCTCCTCCTCCTCCTCCTCCTTCTTCCTCCTCCTCTTTTTCTGAGGCATGCCGCGGGAGCGAGCGCTCGAGGCGTCAGTCCTCCTCCTCCTCCTCCTCCTCCTCCTCCTCCTCCTCCTCCTCCTCCTCCTCCTCCTCCTCCTGTGGTGTGGTGTGGTTCAAACTAGCAAAACAAGCGTTCCTGACCGCAGGCTGGAGGGCAGCTGTCGGCAAGTGCCAAGTGCCGGCCGAGACGCTGCGAAGCGGCGGCGTGGGCGGGCGACCCAGATGCAGCTGAACTGGAAGATGTAGATGGCGCTCAGGAACTCGGCCACCTCTCGGCAGGCCGAGGGCGGCCGCGGAGCTCTCAAGAAGGCGACCCTCCGCGCCGATGCCGAGATGCGAGGCAGGGCCGTCGTCGTTTGCGGGTGCTCCTGCCCCGACCGAGCTGCTTCGGACGCCTCGGAAGCCGCTGTGGCTCCCCCTTCTTCCAACAGCGCAGGCCGGAGCCAGCGCGCAGGCGCGGCGCTCGGGCACGGCCGGTGGGCAGCGCAGGCGAGCCACGGCCCAAGCGCTGCACTCGTCGCCTGGCCGAGCGCGCATACCGATCGCGTGGCAAGGCACGACCTGCTCGACCCCGTCGCCGATCCTCACGGCGGCCACCTCGGCCGGTGAGCATCGACAGCGCGATGCCCTGGCCGATAACGGTGGATCTTGGCCAGCGTGCGGCCGACCGCAGGTGCAGATCTGCTGGGCGGGGGGGCTTCCCTCCCCACCGCGTGGGCGCCCTTAGAACTACCTCTCGCCATCGCTCGGACGTCCATTCCCTGTGCTTTTTTCGGTTTCGTGCGTGGTTTTTTCGCCAAATGATCAAGGATGCTCCTCGATAGTTTTCGCCGAAGGAACAATGCACACGTCCGAGCGATGCCAAGACCTCACGCATCCGACTGCACCCCCGCGACCCTCCCACGCGCACCACGCGGCTGTCCCCTCGGCCCGCGCGCGCCTGCCACGCTGCAGGAGGGGCCCGACCACAGGGAACCTTCCACGAGAAACCCTACCCTGAGACCCCAGGACTTACCAGCCTCGAACGTATCCCTATCCCTAAGATTGACGCGCCAAAAGGCGATGACAATCTTAGGGATTCGCCCTCAAAAAAATAAGGGAACCCCTAAGATTGGCATCGTGATGAGGAGGTGCCCAGCATAGGAATAGGGATATGTTCCAGGCTGGTAAAGGACGTCCATTGCCTCTTGGTGCGGGAACGCCACGCTTCCCCTAGCACAAACCATCGAAGCCCAAGAGACCATGGGCACCCTGGAGGCAAGCAGGGCGTTCCTTGGCATGGGCCTCCACTGTCTCATCTTCAGCGGCGCTCTGCCCGCTCGCCCGGCTGCCGCAGCCGTCCTGCTCCCCGAGCGCCGCTGGGCCTGAACGAGCATCGTTTCCCCGATCCCCACCCCCAGCTTCGTGGCCTGGGCCCCACTGGTCGATGTACCCCCCCAGATGGGGATAGAGGATAGAGGTCGTCTCCTTCGGGCTTCGAGGAGCGTATCCCCAACTGGGGTGGCACTGTGGTGGGGGTCTCGAATGGGATGGGGATGGGGCTGGGGATCGGTGAACCGACGCCGGGGCCTGCTCCCAGAGCGCCGCTGGGCCCGAAAGGGCTCGGGACTCCGCCGGGGGCAACAGGGGGCGGATAAGCCCAGGGGCGAGCCCTGCAGTTGTTTGCGGCCGCAACGCCCTCCGCTCTCGGAGCAGTGCCTCCTCCGCCCCCGCTCGTTGATTACAGCGTAGAAGCCATGCCAGGAACCACCCTGCGTGCCTCCAGGGTGCCCTGGGCTTCTCGGGTTTCGATGGCTCCTGCTATGGAAAGGCGTGGCGTTCCCACACTGAGAATCAATGGACGTCCCAGGGTCTCAGGACTGGGTTTCCTGTGCGGGGTCGTTTGGACAGGACACCCGAGAGGACACGGGACTCTTCCGACGGCAGCGTGGCCCGGGAGGGCCAAAGGACGTGCGGGTTGCAAAAACGGGATAGACAGGACAGAACATCGCTCGGACACCCACTGCTCGTGCATGTTTCGGCTTCGTGCGCACCTTTGTTGCCAGATGATCCAAAAGTCTCCTCGGTGGTCATCGCCGAGAAAAATGCACTCGTCCGAGCGATGCCAGGACAAGGATACCCTCGATCTGGCATAGGTGGGCCTACCAATCGGCGGCCGACTGCATCGGCCAAGGAGCCTCGTCGAATACGTGGGCGATTTGAGAGCCCCCGGGATGCACGCAGTGAGGAGGAGGAGGAGGAGGAGCAGGAGGAGGAGAAGGAGGAGTGGGAGGAGGAAGAGGAGGAGGAAGAGGAGGAGAGGAGGAGGAGGAGGAGGAGGTGGAGGAGGAGGAGGAGGAGGAAGGAGGAGGTGGGAGGAGGGAAGGAGGAGGAGGAGAGGAGGAGGGAGGAGGAAGAGGGGAGGGAGGAGAGGGGAGGGACGACGAGGGAGGAGGAGGAGGAGGAGGAGAGGGGGACGAAGGGCAAGACCCCTTGCATCGATGCAACCAGGCTTCACTGTGCCGAACAACAGATTGGTGACGTTTGCGAACAGACACGTTGCGAACAAAGGAATTCGCTCGGTTTAGGGAGATGCCGGTCCCCTCGAGGCGTACATGTTTTTCACGTTAAGGCTGTGTTTTCGATCGGTCCCGTGGCGCCCCCTGGCTCCAGGGATCGGTCTGGGTGTGTCGACTCACCCCACCACCCTCACTCGATGTCATCCACCTGGTCCTTCTCCTCCTCCACCTCCTCCGCCTCGTCCTCCCCCCCCCTCCTCTTCAATTCTTTCTCCTTGTAGATAACTCCTCCCTGTCGCACCTTTTGTCTGACTTCCTCACCATTTATGACCCTGAAGCTTAAAACGTCGGAACAGCTTCACAGATGGAGGGCGGGTGGTTTTCAAAATGTGCCTCTCGCCTGAGCGCCGCGCACATTCGGTTTAAACATTTGCAAGAGCTTCACGGATTGAGGGCGGGTCGTTTTCAAAATGTGGCTCTCGCCTGAGCGCAGCCCACATTCTTTGCAATCACCATGTGCAAGAGTTTCACGGATTGCGGGCGGGTCGTTTTCAAAATGAGGTTCTCACCTGAGCGCAGCGTGCTTTCTTTGGAGCAAATTGCAAAGGTTTCACGGACTGAGGGCGGGTCGTTTTCAAAATGTGACTCTCGCCTGAGCGCCGCGCACATTCTTTGCAACACATGCAAAATTTTAACGGATTGAGGGCGGGTCGTTTTCAAAATGTGGCTCTCGCCTTAGCGTCGCGCGCATTCTTCGCAAAACCTTGCAAGTGCTTCACGGACTGAGGGCGGTGCCTTGTCAAAATGTGGCTCTCGCCCTAGCGCCGCGCACATTCATTTCAAACGTTGCAAGAGTACCACGGATTCACATGATCAGCGTACCAAGAATGGCGTTTTCGAAGGATTCTGGATCATGCGGGTGAAACAGTTACGTTGATTCGCGGTGTTGATATCAAACAAATGACGTTGTGGCACGACTCCGGATCGCCAAAACGAAGCAGTCAGGTTGATACGGGGCATTGATATCCTGAGAACAATGTTTTGGCATGCTTCAGGATCTTCAAACGCTTGTCCTCCAACGAGGCAGCTCCCTCAATGGAAATGAACCGTTGCAGGGGCCTATGAAGAGGAAGCTTGGAGGAAGGGTTAATTCCAACATTGTTGATGACTCTTGGGTTTACACTGGTCCTCATCCGCCTCCTCCTCTTGCTCCTCCTCCTCTTGCCAGGGAAGGGGGGGAGATGCAGCTGAGAGAGCTCCTGCTGGCTCGTAGATTCGCCATCCTCGTCATGAGGAGCAGTGAAGGGTAGCCCCGAGAGGGCTCCAGAATCATTCGAAGAGTGCTCTGAGCCAGACCCGAGTGCTCGAAGCCCCGAGCTCGACCACCCCTCCCCCCCCAACAGTCACGCTGCCTGCCGAACACCCCACCCCTCCTGTGGCTCATGCGCATATGCAGCGTGTTGCTCACGTGCCCTGTGTTGCGAGCGCGCACGGGGGTGCTCGCCGCCAGTATTGCCTGCGAGCTGCGGTGGCGCGCGCCGACAAAGTGACGACTGCAGTGGCTACAGGCTGCGAGGTCCTCGCGGGCGCTGCGAGAGGCTCGCAGGCGCAGCGCGGTGCTCACACGTATCGCGGTGCGGGCAAACATATTCCAGCCATCGGAAGGTGCTGTGGCACAAGTAGCGTGCGACGTGAGATCGTGCGTAGGTGTGCTGCTCGCAGGCGATGATGGTGCTGGCAGGGCTCAGCGTCCCTCGCCGCCTGCCGACTGGCACGCCACGGTGCTCGCAGGGGAAGTCGGTCGCTGCGCCCGCAAAGAGGAGAAAGAGGATTTTGGATTGCATTCCCGATCAGCCGTCTCGGCTGCCAGATGATGGCGGCGCTCGCTGGCTATAACTACGCGCGGACATGCAACGAGTAGTTCATTAGCATCGGTACCAAGTGTGGGGTGATACCTCACACCCGTGGAGGAAGAGGGAGAAAGGAGGACGGATCTTTAGCCAGGCATTTGCAGACAGGCTGATGGTCGCTGGTGAGCCCAAGAAGATGAGGTTCGGAGGCGCGCTGTAACGCTCGCGGGCAAAGTATGGGGCGTTCGCGTGCAGATCGTGGCGCTCGCGGGCAGCCTCGTGCCTGCGCGCGCAATCGCTGCCGTTCGCGAGCCCAGCGTGGTAATCGCCTGCACGTCGCGGCGCTGGTGAAGTACGGCGGCGCTCACAAGCATATGTTGGTGCTCGCGGGCTACTGCGGCCCTGGCAGGGCCCAGCACGGTGTGCAGGCACACGTTGGGCGCTGCCGCTGTTCGCAGGCGCAGCGTGGTGATCACGGGCGCGACGTGGTGCTCGCTGGCTCTTGCATTGCTCGCTGGCGCTGGCGAATGCTGAACACGCGACCTAAGCACTTGTGAAACCACTGGAGGACGGAGGGGTTCGGCAGGTCCGAGTCACTCCTTGAGCATTGGGGTCTAGCTCAGGGCACTTCTGAAGCATTATTGGAGCCCTCTGTGGGCTACTCTTGACTCTCTTGACGGCAACGAGGGCAAAAAGATGAGCCAGCAGAGGACCTCTTAGATAACTCCAAAAGCAGGATCGGAGGACGAAGAGGACAAATGAGACCAGGAGGATGCAGGAGGAAGGATGATGGGTAGAGGGAACACCAGGAGCAATCCCCAGCAGAGTCTGGGGACGCCCCACAGCCGATTGAAGGAACAAAAGAGCCTTGAGGGGAACGGCATGGAAGCCAGCTGCAAGTGACACATGGGGCCGTGCTCTAGATGCACCCCCGGTGTCGCGACTTTTCCACAGCGAGGACTCCCCCAAATACCTCGAACGTCGTTCGTCCCCCGAGGCCCGGCAAGGGCCCCCTGGAGACCAAATTTGACAAACATCTCCTTGGGGAGGTCAGGCACGGCGAATAAAACTCCAGGACCTCCCTCCTCCAGGTCTCATTCTCTTCGTAAGAGGCTCGTTCTGCGATCCGTCATGGAGACCTGCGTTCTGCGATCCGTCATGGAGACCTCGCTCCACTCATGCGTCGATGCTGCTTCGAATGGCCGTCGACTTGAGTCGGCCTGGGGTCGAACTTGAATCGAGCTAGAATCGAAATAGAGCACAAATATATTCGAACAGAAATCTAAAGAGATCCGTTAGGTGTGTTCCAGGAAGGTCCCCCCGAGCGATCATCTACCCCTTCTGTGGCAAATCATGGGAGCCTACCATGCCAGCTTGCTGGTTCTTGCGGCTCTACGCAAACCATCGCATCAATCGGCGCTACGCGACGCGAATGGATGGAACCTCATCCGGCGCTAATCGACGCTAAATCGGCCCGCTCGCATCGATCACCAGACGCTAGCCCACGCTAGCCCTGAGCACGGACTTGCGAGGCCATACGGTCGGCCCGTATCATAAGGATGCGCGATAAGGATGCAAGGGCCTGAGACGCTCAGTCCGAATCTTTTCGAACGCGGCGCAGCGAACGAAACTGGCCAAGGATGGAGCGAGGAGGAAAAGGGTACCCTTGAGAGTGTTGCCCATCCTTCCTATGCGGGTTGACTATACGAGGCTCCCAGGTTTTGCTACGAATCCCTCCTCTGCATGCCGACTGGTGCTAGCAATGGCCACCACGCTCCGCAAAAGGCCGGGCACGTCGATCTCGATGGCGTTCGGGCCCGCCATGCCGCGCTGCCTGCCGCCAGGGGAGAGGATGTCCGCCAGCGGCACACCCCCAGAATGCTGCCCAGTGGCCGTTCTCTGTAGACTCTTGCGTTCACGTCGACTACACTCGGCGGCGAGCGAGGGGGGGAAGTGAGAAGGAGAAGGCCTTCTCAGAAGGCGGCGGGATTCCTAAAAAGCCCTCGCGCCTTCTGAGAAGCTTCGTTTGCCTTCGAGGCAGGCGCTGGAAACCTCTCAGAAGGCCCGGGGACTTCCCAACCTTCTGAGAAGGCCTTCTCCTTCTCAATTTTCCCCCCCTCGCTCGCCGCCGGTACACGCAAGAGCGATTCTGGATAAGAGTAGCCTTTCGTGCGCGGCACCTGGGGGGACCGCGCGGGAACCAAGCAAAGGAGCGCACAACGCTAATACCGCATCGCGCTCGGCGATCGGGGGAGCCCCTTGGGCCCGCACCACGGGTCACTCCGGCGAAGGGCCACTTTTTTGCGGGTCGTCGATCACGGTCGGGAGCGCTTCCTCAGCGTGTCGCGATGGCGGCCCCGGCGGCACGCCTGAGCATCGTTTTTATCCGACCCCCATCCCCAACGGCTTGGCCTGGGCCCCACTGGCCGATTCACCCCCCCAGCTGCGGATGCAGGCCGTTCCCTTCGGGCTTCGAGGGGCATATTTCCCCACTGGAGTGGCAAGTTGGTGGGGGTCTCGAAGGGGGTGGGCATGGGGATGGGGATCAGTTCAACGATGCCGAGGACCTGCTCCCGGAGCGCCGCTGGCCCTGCAAGGGGCATAGCCCCAACTGGGGTGGTATTCTGGTGGGGGTCTCGAAGGGGATGGGGAGGGGGGTCGGTGAAACGATGCTGAAACGCTGCACCTCGCGAGCGGACGGCGCGTCGCTCCGCGCCGCGGGGCGGGGCAGCTCGGAACGAAACTAAAAAAATCGGCGTGTGGAAGCCGCGGGGCCGCAGGGCGTCGCGGCGCGGAGCGCGGGTGGGCCAGCACGAAATGCAGAGCGACAGGCTCTCCTATGCCAAGTTCCCGACCATGCTCGCACTCAAGGGGGGGGAGGGCGGCCTCCTCCTCCTCCTCCTGCTCCTCCTCCTCCTGCATCCTCCTCCTCCTCCTCAATCCTCCTCCTCCTCCTCCTCCTCCTCCTCCTCCTCCTCCTCGATCCTCCTCGATCCTCCTCCTCCTCCTCCTCATAGTTACTTCACCTCCTCGATCCTCCTCCTCCCCCTCCTCCTCCTCCTCCTCCTCCTCCTCGATATTCTTCCACCTCCTCCTCCTCATCCTCCTCATCCTCACGCACTGGCGGCCACGCAGCGGTCTTGTCCGCCGTAGCCGCGCGTCCTCCTCCTCCTCCTCCTCCTCCTCCTCCTCCTCCTCCTCCTCCTCCTCCTCCTCCTGCTCCTCCTGGGTGGGGGGGCGTGGTGTGGCCCGCAAGGACTTGCCGGAGTCCAGAGGGGGAAGCTCCCTGCTGCTGCGAAGGGCGGGACGCCCCCCCATGGCTCACTCGCCCGGGGGGTCATGGGGAGGCACGTCACGAGCGGGACATGACTCGAGGGTCGGCGGCGAGCGAGGGGGGGGAAGCGAGCAGGGGCGGGCCTTCTCAGAAGTCTCGGAAGCCCCCCCGGCCTTCTGAGAAGTCTTCTTCCTTACGAATTCCCCGACGATAGAACCAAAACCTCTCGGAAGGCGCGAGGGCTTCCGAGAAGTCCCGCCGCCTGCTGAGAAGGCCTTCTCCTTCTCGCTTCCCCCCCTCGCTTGCCTCCGAGAGGGAGCTGGGCCAAGATGGCCAGCGAGTGTGGCCAAGGATGGGCCACATGTGGAAGGATTCGAGCGCGCCCTTGCACAGCTGCTCTCCCTGATGTTCCTGTTCGACTGTGTACGTATGATTGTTGCCACCCAGACCTCCGACGTCGTGAGTTTGTCACACAACCTGATCCCCCTTCTCGACCCTTCAGAGGGTCACTTTCCATCCGCATCGTTTCCTGGCGGCCCCGAGGCCCGGCGACACAAGCACCCCGTCAAGCTCTTCCGCAACAAGATGGGGTCTGGGTTTTCGGGAGCGGCCAAGAAGGGGGTGTCCAAGAGGTGCAAATCATGACCGGCGGCATGTGCGCGGCCCAGCGGGGGGGCGAGGGACGTAATGAAACAAGAAGAGGCGCCACGAAATCTGGGGAAATATCATGGCCCCCGCCATGATAGCCCCCCCCCCTAGTCATCACCCCCCTCTTTGCCGCCCCCGAGGTCTTCAGCTCCCAACTCGGCCCTGCTGCGGCCACTCGGCACCCCGGGCAAAAGCCCTCGGCGAGAGGCGCGGCAGCTGGACAGCATATCCCACAGACTGGAGAAGGTTGCCAAGGCACGACGAGCAGGATCGCAAGCCTCGAACCTTCAAAAGTCCTGGGCGCTTCCGAAGCCTCAGGACAAGAACGACGAACAGGATCGAAAGCCTCGAACCTTCACAAAGTCCTGGGCGCTTCCGAAGCCTCAGGACAAGAACGACGAACAGGATCGAAAACCTCGAACCTTCACAAAGTCCTGGGCGCTTCCGAAGCCTCAGGACAACAAAAAGACCCTGGCCTCGGATCCGCCGTGCGACAGCACATTCTCCGACTTAGCAGTGTCGAACTGCATCCCAAAGCATGTGCAAAAAGCATGGCGGATATTTCCGCCCCCACAAAATCTAGAAGATATTGGCGCAAAGGTGTGGCGAGAACAACGACGGCAGAGCAGGGCGGACATCGACACCAAGGGAGCTTGAAGAGAAGCGCGGGACCATAGTCAGGGAGGTGTGGCGTGGGGGGTGAAAGCCGAGGGTCGTCGAGTGGGGATTGAGGTCCTCCTCGGGCGTGGGTCTGCCCCCTGCGAAGCTTCTCGGGGTGCTCTCGTCGCCACGGCCGGAGCCCGTTTCCCGCTATGCTGGCCAGGACACGCCCCTGGACGAGTCCTTGGTCCGAGCAAGCGTCGATGCTACGGGGAGGAGGGGGAGACCCAGCGTATGAGATGAGCTCGTCTTCGTGTAATGCCGAGGGCGCGAGGAGGAGGAGGAGGAGGAAGAGGAGGCAGAGGACCTGTGCAAACTAAAGAGTCATCAACGATGTTGGAATAAACCCTCCCTCGAAGCTCCCTCTTCACAGGCCCCTGCAACGGTTCACTTCCATTGAGGGAACCGCCTTGTTGGCAGACAACCGTTTGAAGACCGGGAAGCATGCCAAAACATGGTCTCGGGATTCCAACGCCACGGATCAAACTGACTGTTGCGTCTTGGCGATCCAGAACCGTGCCAGAAAGCCGCCCGTGGGACTTCCACACTGCGAACCAACGTAACTGTAGCAGCCACATAATCAAGAATCCTTCCAAAACACTATATCTGGTAAGTTGAGAAATCTTGCAACAAAAAATAAGCGAATGAGAACCATGTTTTGAACGAGAACCATTTTTTGAGAACCAAGAAGCGAGAACCATTTTTTGAAAATGAACCGCCCCCAACCCGCGAAACTTTTGACCGTGTTGATTATGCGCGGCGCTCAGGCGAGAAGCACATTTCGAAAACAATTCGCACTCAATTCGTGAAGCTCTGGCAAATGTTTAAAACGAATGTGCGCGGCGCTAAGGCGAGAGCCATATCTTGAAAACGGCCTGACCGCCATATAAGAAGCTGCTGCCATGTGTAAGTTTCAGAAGCACACCTGGTTAGGAAGTCTCAGGCGAAACGCCCGGTTCGCTTTAAACACTGGCCTCGGGGTGCGACAGGGAGAAGTTGTTTACAACGAAAAGGAATGTAGGAGGCATAGTGCCGATGAGAGTTATGTTGCTCCCATCGTAATTGTGCCACATCCCAGAAATATTCCGAGCACCCAGTCAAAATAGAAAAAGCGTCGAACGAGTATGGCCTCCCAGGGCCCGACATGTGAAAACCTTCCAATGTCGGTACTTCCCTGGTGCTCGAAAGTCTTTCTGGCGATCAAGGCTGGAGTAGGTTGGAACACCGTACGATGAGATGGGGAAGGGGAGGAGGACCAGGTGGATGTACTTAAGAAGGGAGTCGATGAGGAGAACCGCCCAGAGCAGTCCTCTGAGTCTGAACGCGCCACACGTATGATTGAAATCACCGCTTTGCCTCGAACAGCATGAGCCACGAGGGGGTCTGCATCGCCTTTCAGATCTGGGTTCCCTGAACTGGAATCCGCGGCTGCATCAGGCAAGCAAGAAGCAGGAAGAACAAGAGGAGGAGGAGGAGGAGGAGGAGGAGGAGGCACAGCGTCCATGATAGAAGGAGGAACAAAAAGGCGCAGCGTCGACAGTAATGGAGGGAGGAAGAGGAGGAGGATGAGAAGGAGGACGAGGAGGAGGAGGAGGACGAGGAGGAGGAGGAGGAGGCACATCGTCGATGGCGTGAGAAAAGGGAGGAGGAGAAAGAAGAGGAGGGGGAGACACAGCGTCAATGGTAGAAGGGGAAGGAGGACGAGAAGGAGGAGGAGGAGGAAAAGAACGAGGAGGAGGAGGAGGACGAGGAGGAGGAGGAGACACAGCGTCCGTCGACGGTATGAGGGGGGGCGCGGAGGCGGAGGCGGAGGAGGAGGAGGTGGCGGCGCGCCGCTGGGGCGACGCGCGGGGCGCCTCCACTCGGGCTCGGACAGCCCTTTGGCCACCAGCCACCTCGCGCGACGGCCGGGCGCCCCGGCGCGGGACCCGGGCGCCAGGGGGGGGGGTGCCTCGGTCTCCCCCCCTGGTGGTCCTCGCGCTGCAGTCTCGTCGTCGTCCTCCTCTTCGAACTCGACCTCAACGTTCCTCCTTTTCATCCTGCTCCTCCTCCTCCTGCTCCTCCTTCTCCCCCTCCTCCTCCTCTGCATCCTCCGCCTCCATCTCGTCCTCATTCTCGTCGTCCTCCTCCCTCCTCCTCCTCCTCTTCCGTGCGCTGACCCGCGGGCGGGCCCCGTGCGCCGGGGAGGTGAGGAGGCCTCGGTCTGCCTCCTGCTGCTCCTCGGGCATCCTCCCAATTATTCTTGTGTTTGACGTACGCCATTGCCCGGATTTTGAAAAGACTTTAGGCTATGGAAAATAGCCTTCACTCTAAACATTTTCTTAAGCTGTAGTCCAAACCCAGATGTGTGAACATTCTACGAGACCAAAACAAGTAGAACAACTGCCCAGGGCCACGTCCAAATTATTGATTTGTTTGAATGACGTCCAGAGCCCGTGAATATGGATGTCGTCAGTTAAGATATCTGACGGGTGTTGGCTGTGCAGCTGTCGTGTGCGTACGGCAATCTGCAAAAAAAAGCATACAACATCGCAGAAATCACGCCCGGAGCCCCAGACCGCATCGATCTACGAGGCTCTCGGGGCCCGAAGTTCAACGAAAACGCCCGTTGTGAAAAAAATGCAACGCCAGGATCTCCAGATTTTGGCGTACCACGACAGGTTCTTGGAACGCAAAGATGTCCTGAGAACAAAATCTCAGAACATAAATCCGATGTGATAAAGCAAGACAGTCCGAGCCAGAAGTGTTCTAGGAACAGTTCGTGGAAATCACAAACAGGCTCTGAGGACATTCTCTGGCAGGCCTATGGGCCCGCCAGAACGCTTCGCCAGAACTCTTGATTTTCGCGACGTCGGCTCTCAGGGATCCTCACCCACCCCCCAGGGCTTCCCTGAGATCCGACGCTGGAAACAAACATGCAACATCGCAAAAGTCACGCCCGGAGCCCCAGACCGCATCTGTCTGCGCCATCTTTCGAGCCGGATCGATCTGTGAGGCTCTCGGGGCCCGACATTCAAAGAAGACGCCCCTTAGCCCCAGACCGCACCTTTCTGCGCCGTGTCTCGAGCCGGATCGGTCTGTGAGGCTCTCGGGGCCCGAAAAGAATTGCAACGCCAGGAGCTCAAGGCTTTGGCCACGGGCGGACCCCCCCCCCACGCGTGGCGCCTCTCGCGCGCCGCGGCGGCGGAGCAGGTCTCCAGGCCGCCGGGGCGGAAGCGGCCCTCGGGCTCGTCCCAGAGGTAGCGCCTCGGCCATGCCCGGGCGGAGGGCGCGCGGTGTGCCACCACCGCCGGGCTCGTGCTGCCCCCATCGTGCTTCCCAGGCGCCCTCGAGTCATGAAGAAATCACGGCGGGAGGTTTTTCGCCATTTTCCGCCTCGGGAGGGCCTAGACCGGGCCTCTGGACCTTGAAAAAACGACTCAGGACGAAAAACCGGTCGGTCGAGACCTCTGGGGGTCGACGTCGTGAAAAAAATAATGACGTCGGGGGTCTGGGTTGAGGGCCACATTCCAGACAGACTTTCGAGCACCCAGAAGAAAGTATTGAAGCAGCATCAAGCGAGTATCGCCTCCCAGGGCACGACGCGTGAGCGCCATCCAGTTTCGGTACTCTCTTGGTGTTCACATTCTCTCTGGTGATCAACGCCAAAGTGGCCAAGGGCAGCAGGGTCTGTACCCAGACATGCGACGTCCTGATTGCTTCATGACGGCGTCCCCGCAAGTCCCGACCCTTTCTCCAGGACCGGTTTTTCGTCCTGCATCATGTTTTGGCGGCCCCGAGGCCCGGCGAGGGCCCCCCGATGCCGAACAGATGCAAAAACCTCCCGTCCTGATTCTTTTCACCACGCGATCATGTCTCGGTATACATATTGCTGCGCCCGCCCTCCTCTCCTCCCGCCTGCACACCAACGTGCCCATGCGCAGCCCGTTCAGGCCGGCCCGTGCGGAGCGACCGCCCGCGCCGCGGCCCAACACGAGCCCATGACCCCGGGGGGAGGGCCACACGATCCCGACCCTCTTCTCCCGGCGGGGCCCATGAAGTAGACACCACCACCATCTCCCCGCCCCCCCTCCCCTCCCAGGAGCGAGGAGGGGACGAGGAGGGCGGAGGAGGAAGGGTGAATGGAGGTGGTGGTGGCGGTGTATATTCTTGGGGCCCGCCTCTCCTGGCCGTGGCGACGGAGGGGCCTCCAGGGGGCCCCGAGCGGGGCCAAGCAAAGACGCCAGGAGAGAGGGCCGCCGCCGCCTCCACTGTGGCCGGGGGACCCACTGGCCCGGGCCACTCCAGGCCCGGGCCAGGGCAGGCGCCGGAGGCTCCTGCAGGAGACCCTGTGGGGCCCTGCAGGCTCCTGCGCCCAAGCCCAGGCCGGTGCACCCCTGGCCCCTGCAGGATCCTGCAGGACCCGGCGCTGCTGACGGACCCGCGTTGGCACGGCGCCCCCGGTCGCTGGAGCCCCGAGCAAGCCCGCGGGCGCGAGCTCCGCGGGCACCCTGGGCCCGCCACCAGAGGATTGAGCAGGGACCGACCGCCCCAGCACTCCTACAGGCCTGCCATGAGATGTTCCCAGAACCCGAACATGTTCTGATGACCAAAACAACAATTCTTGGAACGTGTAGCCGACGTGTTGGAAACAAGACTGCCCACGCCGGAAAAATGCTCTGAGAGCATATTTCGCGCGAGCCACAGAGACGGCTCTTGGAACATGCTTCGGTGGGCCTCCCGGCGAGCCAGGACGCTTCGCCACTGCTCGAGAGGAAGGCGCTCTCCGCCGGGAGCCGCACGCGCGCGGCACCGCCGCCGCGCCGCGGCGGCGCGAGCCACGCCCCGCAGCCCCCGACCTGCGCCCGCCGCCGCCGCAGGGCGCCCCTTCCCCGCGCGGTGCTCGGCCCCCGTGCGCTGCGCTCTCTCTCTCGCAGAGGGGCTGCTCCCCGAGGGCCCTCGCCGAGAGGACACGGCGCGCACGCCCGAGCGATGACGCCACGCGGGGCGCTGGCTCTCTTTTTTTCGGCACCGGGCCCCAGGCCCCGACCCCTGCCCCAGGGCCATCCTTGTCGCCCCAGATCAGTACATTCGAAGGCCCAGGGCCCAGAATCGAAGAGAAACGCTCAGATGGAGAGAAAAAACAAACATACACCTGGGCATTGGCCAACGGATCTCTATCACCACCGGCGTGTCTTGATGACCCCCCTTCGATGGGGACAGATACTTCTCCCTCGGGGCCAAGCAGGGCATATGCCAAATTGGGGGAGGAGTGGTAGGGCTGAGATACCAAGGCCCAATGAGGGCGACTAGACTGTGCTTTTGGCTCCGAAAAATCCGCTGCCCCTCAAAGGGCTCTCATCGCAACAGAAGTGCTCTAGAGTGGCCGGCCGGGGTGACGTCACCACATTCAGGAGAAGGAGCGGAGGAGGAGAGGAGGAGGAGGAGAAGGCAAAGGAGGAGGAGGAGGAGGAGGAGGAGGCGGAGGCGGAGGAGGAGGAGAGGGGGACGACAGGATCGACGATACTGAACGTCGTCGGGGATGCTGGACTCCGCGCTCCCACGCTGCGCGGCCACCTCTCCGTCCACCCCTTCGCGCGCTCCCGCGCACCCCTGGTGGAACGAGGAGCGCCCACTCCCCCAGCCCTGGGCCACGGAGCGCGGGGCCGACATCTTTGCGCCTGCCCCCCTTGACCCGCCGCCGGCGATCGCGCGCGATCGTCGTCCTCCTCCCCCTCCACCTCCTCCTCCTCCCTCCTCCTCCTCCTCCTCCTCCTCCTCCTCCTCCCCCTCCTCTCCTCCTCCCTCCGTCCCTCCTCCCCTCTCCTCCTCCTCCTCCTCATCCTCCTCCTCCTTCCTCCTCCTCTCCTCCTCCTCCTCTCCTCCTCCTCCTCCTCCTCTCCTCCTCCTCCTCCTCCTCCTCCTCCTCCTCCTCCTCTCCTCCTCCAGCCGCTCCTCCTCTCCTCCTCCCTCTCTCCTCCTCCTCCTCCTCCTCTCCTCCTCCTCCTCATTATCGTCATCATCATCATCATCATCATCATCATCATCATCCATCATCATCATCATCATCATCTCATCCTCATCATCATCTCATCCTCATCCTCATCCTCATCCTCATCCTCATCCTCATCCTCATCATCATCATCATCATCATCATCATCATCATCATCATCATCATCATCATCATCATCATCATCATCATCATCATCATCATCATCATCCGGCGATCGCGACCGATGGCGCGCGATCTGCGGACCGCGAGAGCCGACGCCGTGTCTTTCCATCCATCGGCATGGGGAGAACTAACTCTGGCTGCGCTGGCTGTGCTGGCACGCACGAGAGGGTAGACCGCGTCGCTGGGACTCCCGGCCGGAGCTCTCGACGCCATCCTGAGATCCTTGGCCAACTGTCCCTGCTACGATCCCGGCGCCGTTCCTGGAACTCGGCCTCCCCCTAGGGTCGGGAGCGGCCAAGAGGGGGGTGTCCAAGAGGGGGGGGTGCAGATCATGACCGGCGGCATGTGCGCGCCCCCGCGGGGGGGCCAGGGACGTATTGAAATAGGAAGAGGCGCCATGAGATCTGGGGAAATATCATGGCACCCGCCATGATATCCACCCCCCCTAGTCATCAACTCCCTCTTCTCCGCCCCAGATAGGGCCCGCCTCCAGAACCCGGGGCCCTCCAAGACTGCCCGGGGGCGCCAGGGGGAAGGGGCCAGGACCTCCAGGGCCGCGCGCTGAAGAGAACGTGTCGTCGGATGTGTGGGCACTCGATCTGGGGCCAGGAGCAAGAGCGAAGAGCGCCGCTCAGTCGCCGGAGTGCACCCGGTCCCCGCCCCACGAGGCGCTGACGCCCTCGGGAGTGTATGATCTCTGTCGAGGCTGCTGCGTAACATCGAACCAGTGGAGCGCGACACATTGGGCCCCCATGGAGGTCAGAACTGCACTCCCTCGACCTGCACCTGCCGCACCTTCCTCGCGGAAGGTGCCGCCGCCGTGTGGCCGCGGCAGCGGAGAAGCGGCCGCGGCGGCGGCCGCGCAGAAGGTGCAGGTCGAGGGCTCTTCACGGCAACCTCCCCAGGCCCTCGGGGGTGTGCTGGGGACGGCGCACGCAGGTGTACCTGAAGAAGCGGAGGCCGTCCTCGGCATGGGGCTGCCGCGCCACGCTCCCTCCCCATCGAATCCCTTCTCCCTGCCTGCTCCTCGCATCCTCCACAATTACTCAGTATGAAAATACTCTCTCTCTTCCCCTGATGGCGTCCGGGTGATGGCCGCGCACCCTCCGCGTATTGTTTTTTACACACAGGAGATGCCCGGGAAATCCCGGGAAACGACTCTCGCTGAGGCGCCGGCGTCATTTTTTCCCAAAATGCTGCTCTCGTTGAGGCGCCGGCCTCACTTCTGCTCCCGAATCGTTCCGAATCGTGCTCCCGCTGCAGCGTGGGCCTCATTTTCGGATCGGTGTTTGGCCTCCGTCGTTCAGGATGGCGTTCTCGCCCCAGCGCGGGCCTTTTTCTCGCGCGCCCATCCGCCCGCCACCACCGCGCCGCACCGCCACCACCACCACCACCACCACCACCACCACCAACACCAACACCACCACCACCACCACAACCACCAGCACCAGCACCAGCACCAGTACCAACACCACCACCACCAGCACCACCACCACCACCAGCACCACCACCACCACCACCATCACCAACACCACCACCACCACTACCACCACCACCACCACGACAACCACGCACACACGCACGCACGAACGCACGTGCACCACCACCCACGACGCACGCGCGCGCGGAGCCACAGGTCCGCTACGACACGCGTCCGCGGATAGAGAAAATCAGCGCCATGGTAAGGGATGGGAGGGAGAGGTAGGACGTCAGATATGACGCGAGCGCACCTAGCTTGCCCCCCCCCCTCTCCCACTTCCTCCCCCCCAGCCTGCCTCCTGGCCTACTCCAGAGCGCGGGCTACCACTCCAGATCCGAATCCTTGTTCATCATTGCCGCTCCCTTATTTTTCCCCCTCCGATTTCCACAGGTTCCCATGCTCCTCCCGCTCTGTGCATTCCAGTTGCTGCTGCAACTGCTGATGATCATCCACGTGCTCCCTTTTCTGCATGCTCTTCAGGTCCTTGTCCTCGTTGTCCTGCTGCTCATCCTCCTGCCCACCCGCAGGAGAGCCCAGCATCGAATCGATAAGTCGGATCGGCGATCGAAATGGTTCCGATCGACGGAAATCGGCCGCGGAAACGGGGAAATCGAATCGGCGGAAATCGGCGGGCTGGTAGGCCTCCGTTGACAAAATAGGAGCCCAAGTCGGAATCCAAAGCCGAATCGAATCGGGATCGGAAGCCATCGACCTCGGATCGGATCGAATCGGAGGAATCGCAGCGAGCCCTGCGCCCGCCCCTCTTTCTCCTCCTGTGTGCGCAGCTCCCCCTTTCTTTCCGACGGCGCATAACACGATAGGGTCGTTTCGGAGTTCCAGGTCGGCCATGACACGAGTCCGAGAGTAGAGAGACCAGCACTGCAATGGAACGTCAGACGTGGCGCGAGCGCACCTGGCCCGTCCGCACGTCTCTCTCCGGTCTCCGCTGGCATCCTGGCTCTCCTCTCTTCCCTCCTCTCTCGACTATATCTCACCCTCCATGTCTCCTCTCCTCTCTCCTCCGCCTCCTCCTCCTCCTCCTCCTCATCCTCGTTTTTTTTGTCGCTCCTCTCTCATCTCTCCTCTCCCTCGCTATCTCACTCTCTCTCTCTCTATCTCTCCTCTCATCTCCTATTTCTCCTCCTCCTCCTCTTCCTCCTCCCCATCATCCTATGTCCTTTCTCCACCTTCTCCTCCTTCTTCTCCTCCTCCTCCTCCTCCTCCTCCTCCTCCTCCACATCCTCCTCCTCCGTCATCTCACATCTCTCCTCTCTACACCTACTCGTGTGAATACTGCTCTCCTCTCCCCCGGCCACGTCCTGAAACTCTCCCGCCCTCGACGTGCAACGCGTCTCACCACAAGCAGGATTCCAAACCGTGCGTCGTATCATGTGTGTTCTCCCGACGGGGCGTCTGCGGTGTTCCAAACAGGTGTTCGTGCTGCAACGTTGGCCTCACTGTACAGTCGAGGCGTTGCCCTAAGGAACCCTAAATAGGGAACGAGGCCCCTATGTTCCATAAGTTAAACTTCGATGTCGTATCGAAAACCTGGGGAAAATTTTAAGGCAAGCTGCAAAACAGTTAAGGAACACGGAGCCCCTCCCCAACGAAAAGGGTTCCTTCTTCAGGGCCCCGACTGGAGGACCGACGTTAAGAATGGCGCTCTCGCCCAAGCGTGGGCATCGACACTGCATCCAGGTCCTCCCGCGTCGCTGTCGCACCGTCGCCTTTCTTCTCTCTCGTCGTCCTCCTCCTCCTCCTCCTCCTCCTCCTCCTCCTCCTCCTTCCGGTGGCACTCCTGCTCCTCCCGCTCCTCCCAGTCCTGGGCATGCTGCTGCAGTTCCTCCTCACCCTCCTCCTGCCTCATCCTCACCCTTGTCCCCCGGCTCACCCGCCACCGCCTCCTCCTCTAGTGTGCTCTGATTGTGCACTACTCGATGGGCTCGCGTTGCGTGGTTCAAAGGTCCTCTGCGAGACCGGTCGGCAGATAAAGACAAGTCAGCGCAGTGGGGAGGATTGGGCGGGCGGGGTAGGGTGTCAGATATGGCGCGCCCGCTCTTAGGTCGCCCATTGCCTCCTCGCCTCCCTCCTCTCTCTCTTCTCCACTCTCTCCTTCTCTCCCCCCTCTCTCTCTCCTTCTCTCTCTTTTTTCTCTCTATCTTTGTCTCTCTCTCTCTCTCTCCCTATCGCTCTCTTTTGGAGGCCTGGAAATTGGCACCAACACCAAGACAGGGGGCTGCCTCCGCAGGGGGGAGATGATCCTTGATTTCGGTGTTGGTGGTAAGATTTCGGCCACCTTGGAAGCCAGAATATTACCACCATCACCGAGATCGGGATCGTCTTCCCTCGGTGGAGGCACACCGCCGATCTTGGTGTTGGTGTCGACCTGTAGGCCTGCGAGCTCTTCCTTCTCCTCCTACCCTCATCCGCCTATCCGCATGTTCATGTTCCTTCTCCTCCTCCTCATCATCATCATGCTCATATCCTCTCGAACACACCCCCTCCTCCTCCTCCATTTCCTCCTCCCTCCGTCCTCCTCCTTATTCTCCTCCTGCTCTTTCCGCTTCCTCCTACTCCGCCTTCATCTTCCTCTTCCCCCATGCCTCCAGGGCGACCTGCTCCACTTGAGAGGCCGCCAATGTGCTCCTGCTGCGCGGAACAAGTGTCAGCACACCGTTCAGAAACGGAAGCGTTTCATTCCATCGTTTATTCCATCCTCCCTTTCCCCTCCTCCTCCTTCTCATCAACTTCCTCCTTCTCCTCCTCGGACGATTGCGGATGGTCCTCGGCCATCTCCACCTTGCAGAGCGTCCCGAGGGTCTGGCCGTCTGCACCCTCCATCATCACGTGCGACGCCTGCGCCCCACCCTCCCGCGCACGGCCCTTGCGACGAGTAGAAAGATCACAACCTAAGCGGGCAATGGAATCGACACGGCCTATCTTTTCCGGCTTCGTCTTGTCAACTTCTCTTGCCGACTCCGACGCCGTTCTCTTGCCCGTTCCGTCGCCGTGTTTTTGTTCCGGCTCCTGCTCCGGCTCCAATCCCAGAACCGACTTTATTCCGTTTCCGGTCGCCTTTTTGTTGCCGCTTCTATTCTCAAGACACACTTTTCGGAAACGGTGAAATGACGGCCCTGCCGTTCCCGGGGCCCACTGAGACCACAACGGCAGACAAAGTCGTGGCCGATACCATTGATATCTCCTGACCCTTCTGGCGTCCATCGGCCTTCGCACTCCGCAGGCAAGATCGTCTGGGGATAGTGTGGGGTCGGATGATGGGGGTGGTACGGGAACCAATGCGAGCCCAGATGAATCCAAGCCAACACCTGAGACAATGCGGGAGACAGGGCCAATGGGGAGAAGCTATAGGAATCCATCGGCTCCAATCGGACGAGCGACCACTAAAGGAGTACTTACGGCGGACGGCGCAATGATCTTACAACCCAACTCAGGAACGATATGTCTATAGAGAGATAGAGAGAGAGGGAGAGAGAAAGATATCAGAGCGAGGGGGCCGAATGGTCATTCACTGTCCCTGGGTGCATGTCTGAAGTGGGGTTCCACGGTGCGGGCGGTTGTTGCTGTTGTTGCTGCAGCTGCTGCGTTTGTTGTTGTTGTTGTTGGTGGGTGGTGGTGGTGGTCGTCGTGCTGTTGGTGTTGACTTGTTGTTGGTGCTGGTGATGGTGGTGGTGTTGCCTGTTTGTTTATTTGTTTGGTTGGTGAGTTGGTTGTTTGTATGTTGACTGTTGCTATTGAGTTGTCATTCCTTTGATCCCCACTCCAGTAACCATTGCACTGTTCAATTGAAGTTCCTATCCCTGGGCGCGCACCCCGTTCTTTACAAGAGAAAGCGGCGGGTCACCAAACTGTATTTGATGGGCCCCGAAATGCAACAACAACGGTTCCAACCTGATGCTTCCTCACAGTGGATTCCAAAACCGCGCTCTCGCGCGGGACTTCCTCACAACGTATGCAGGAATCGCGCTCACGCGTAGGACCCCCTTGCAATTCGTCAGCCTCCATGGGGGCCCTTTCCGGGCCTCCATGGGGGCCCTCCATATGGAGGGCCCCCATGGGGGCCCTCCGGGAAGGGCCCCCCATATGGGGGGCCCTTCCCGGGCCTCGGGGGCCGTGCAGACACCACCCCGGGGGGAAACGAGCCGTCGGGAGCGGTCTCGAGAGGTCGGGGGCCCCGGGTGTTCCGCAGGTCGGCACGCCGGACATCCGGGCACGGCGAGGTCCACGCCACGGGTCGCGGGCCTCCTCGTCCTCGTCCCTCCTCCTCCTCCTCCTCCTCCTCCTCCTCCTCCTCTCCTCTCCTCCTCCTCCTCCTCCTCCTCCTCCCTCCTCCTCCTCCTACCCTCCTCCTCCTCCTCCTCCTCCTCACCCTCCTCCTCCTCCTCCTCCTCCGCCTCCTCCTCCTCCTCCTCCTCCTCCGCCTCCTCCTCCGCCTCCTCCTCCTCCTCCTCCTCCTCCTCCTCTCTCTCTCTCGCCTTGAGGTATTGTCGAACTCGGCCATGCCCCCCCGCAAGGCAGGTCGGAACTGGTGTGTGTGTGTGTGCGTGATCAATCTAGAAAGCCAGGCGCTCCCAGGGGCGAGGGTTCCTGGATTCGCGACTCATGTATCAAAAATAAGGGGCACTTGAGTGAAGGAGAAGGACAACGACAACTCCTCCTCCCTCTCCCCCTCCTCCCCAGGCCCCCGAGGGCAGTATTTCATACTGAAGCTCTTCTCCACAGCCCCGAGGCCCGGTAAGGGCCCCCGGAGGCGCACCATGAGGAAGACCTTCCCGTCGTGATTTTGTGACTCGAGCCTGTGGACGAAGGTCGACCGCGCGGGCTCCGTTTTTTGGCGGCGCGCAGAAGGGGGTGGAGGGAGGGGGGAAGGCTTCTTAGAAGGAGGCTGCTTCGTAGAAGGCGGCGGCCTTACATCTATACATAAGGACCGCGCCTTCTAAGAAGCAGGAGTGCTTCTAAGAAGCCTTCCCCCCTCCCCCTACCCCCCTCTGCGCGTGGCCGAGTTTTTCTCGCCGCCGTCGCGGCCGCCGCGGGTCGGAGCGCCCTCGTCTGGCGCAGGTCCGGCGGCCGGCCGGCGGCACAGCCCAGTCAGCCGGGCCGGTCGCTCGCCTGCGTGTCGGCCCGCCTCCTCAGGGGCGCCATGACTGGCGTGGTGGCGGCGCCCCCGGGAGTACCGCCGCCGTCCGCCTAGGGGAGGAGGAGGAGGAGAGGGAGGATGAGGAGGAGGAGGAGGAGGAGGAGGAGGAGGAGGAGGAGGAGGAGGAGGAGGAGGAGGAGGAGGCGGAGGGTGAGGAGCAGGAGAAGCAGGGTGAGGAGGAGGAGGAGAGGAGGAGGAGGAGGGGAGGAGGAGGAGGAGGAGGAGGAGGAGGAGGAGGAGGAGGAGGAGGAGAAGGCGCGAGGATCGAGGAGGATCGAGCATATGAGGAGGAGGAGGAGGAGGAGGAGGAGGAGGAGAAAGGGATCGAGGCGCGAGGATCGATGAGGATCGAGGAAGATCGAGGATGATAGAGTCTCGAGGATCGAGTGAAATCGATGACGATCGATGAGGATCAACGAGAATCGAGGAGGAGCATCGAGGGAAATGAGGAGGACAAAATTAAAGGCACCCTTTGTGAAATAAGGCGGGGAGCCTCTTAGAATACAGGGGCCCTCTTAGGGGGGCCTGAGGGCTCGCAAGGAGGCACCATGGTAGCCAGGAGGCAGGGCTCACAAGAAGGCCGCCCCCCTCGCCCCACGCACTCGTGAGAGCGCCGCCAGGGAGGATCCTTCTCCTCCTCCGCCTCCTCCTCCTCCTCCTCCCTCTCCTCCTCCTCCTCCTCCTCCTCCTCCTCCTCCTCCTCCTCCTCCTCCTCCTCCTCCTCCTCCATCTCCTCCCTCCTGGCGCCACTCGTGAGAGCGCTGCCAGGGTGGAGAGCAGGATCGATGGGGCGCCTTGGCTGCCGCGAAGTCCCCCGCATGAGCGGCCCCAGAGGGGCACCCCTGCCCCCGTTGCCGCCCAGCAGAGGGCCACAGCTTCTCACGCTGCATGCTTCGCAGGTGCAACCCTGGGCTCCCATCGGTGTCCAAGAAGAAGGAGGACCGAGGATCGAGGAGGATAAGGAGGATTGGGAGCGGCCAAGAGGAGGGTGTCCAAGAGGGGGGGGGGTGCAAATCATGACCGGCGGCATGTGCGCTGCCCAGCGGGGGGGCCAGGGACGCAATGAAATGAGGAGAGGCGCCATGAAATCTGAGGAAACATCATAGCCCGCGCCATGATATCCGCCCCCCTAGTCATCACCCCCTTTGCCGCCCCTAAAACAGGGCTAGGATCGGGACACATCGCTCCAGAGCGTTTCGGAGCGCTCTCAGAGCGTTCCGGAACGCTCTGGAGCGGCCGCGGCGCCCAATACATCCCCCAAACCCGCCGATTCTCAGAGATTTCGAGTTATCCCGATCCG